TCGTTCTCTGAGATTTGTTTTTTCATGATAATCGAATATAAAGAGTTATCTCTAAAAACTGTTTAGCGTATAATGCTAGTAATGGGGGCATTGACTAAGTAAAAAGAAATTGCTAGTTTATACCACTAACAAGGCTCAAAATAGCCCCACACTAACGCAGTAACATAATGAGGCTCCATACATGCAAAACGAAGCATTGAGAACTTTGTAAGTGTACAGACCGTTTAATAAGAAGATACTTTATGAAGACAGTTCACTGTTAATGTATACAGACAGAAGCCATCTTAGAAAATAAGTCTCGATAAGTCAAACCACGAACGTCGTGCTGAGTGATCTGAACTGTATGAAGTTCTTTGAACTTCTGAACTGTATGAACGTCGTTCGGGGATCGACTTATCGAGACTTTTTTAAGATGGCTCCTGTCTGTATACACAAAGTGAACCGTCTTCATAAAGTATCTTCTTATTAAACGGTCTGTACACTTACAAAGTTCTCAATGCTTCGTTTTGCATGTATGGAGCCTCATTATGTTACTGTGTTAGAGTGGGGCTATTTTGAGCCTTGTTAGTGGTATAAACTAGCGATTTCTTTTTACTTGGTCAATGCCCCATTACTAGCATTATACGCTAAACAGTTTTTAGAGATAAAACTCTTTACATTCGATTATCATGAAAATAAATCTCATGATCTCAAATCTCATCAAAGAGAACGATTGACTAGGTACCGATGTTTTATTAGACCAAAGGTTCATTGTTCGCCGGAGTTCTCCTTTAAGCCGTCAGTCTGATTTCTAATGGATTATTTGGTTGCATGTAAACGTAACTATTGTCATTTGTTATTGATAAGTTATTTTGCTTAGAGCTGCCATCAACATTTTAATTCTCATCAATCACTCAGTGAAATATAATTTAGGCTATGTAATTAATAAATTATGTGATAAATCATTTTGACTGCAAAATATCAGTGAATCAAAAAAATTGCATCCCCTTTATTTGAAATCAGATGTCCTTATTTGTCAGATCAACTGCCCAAAATGTTTTATTACACTTAAGAACTTTAGTGTAACAAGCAGTAAGAAGCTGCAAATCACATGTAACTTGTAAATTTAAAAATACTTGAACAGTACTTTTTTTTTTTAAATAGTTGCCAATTTATATCTTTTAATGATCAATTAAATGCAGCAGTTCTACCTATTTCTAATGAACTTTTTGATGTTTCTTGTTTACTTTTTTAAGATAAAAGACATTGATCTTCAAGATTCTGGTGAGCTCTTTGATTCTACACCAGAGAGTTCAGATAATTATGTTCCAGATACCACTTCCGACAGTGACTGTGACAGTGATGTTAGCCTTACACTGAACCCAACAAAACGTCAGCTTCTTGATCAACTGGATATGAATGAATCTGCCTCTGTAAGCTCCCCTGACTGTGACTCAACAACGTCAGACAATATGCACAGCGTTACGTCTAAAGCATCTGGAACAGTAGAAGAGCCCAGTTCAAGTCAGAACACAATAGACTGCGTAGTTGTTAATGCATACCATAAAAGAGATGGTGGTAGAGTGTATAACAAGAGACATTACTGCTTGTATTGCTCCAAACCTTACGCTAAGATGGCAAGGCATCTAGAAAGTTCACATGCAAATACATCTGATGTGGCTAGAGCTCTAAGCTTTCCAAAATGTTCAAAGGAGAGAAAAAAACAGTTGGATTATATTCGCAACAAAGGGAACTATGCCCACAATGCTGCGGTTATGGAATCAGGAAAGGGGGAACTGGTGCCATTTAAACGACCACCTAAAAAAGCACTGGGAGAGGATTTCATGCATTGTGCATACTGTCAAGGACTTTTTACGAGAAAGGTCCTTTGGCGACATATGCGTTCTTGCAGACTTAAACCTCAGTCAGTCCCCCCCAAACCAGGAAAAAACCGTGTTCAGTCCATGTGTACATACACGGGGCCTGTGCCTTCAAACATGACCAAACAACTGTGGGGAGTAATCAGTGCCATGAATCCTGACCCAATCACAGATATTATAAAAAATGACAAAGTAATTACTGAAATTGGGCAGCACTTGTTGAACAAAGGAGGGATATCAGCCAAAAATCAACAGTATGTGCGGGAGAAGATGCGAGAATTGGGACGGTTGATTCACAAGGCGAGGAGAGTCACCTCGTTAAAAACGATGGAAGATTGTGTAAATCCAAAGAAGTACATGGAGACTGTCAAAGCTGTGAAGTATACGTGTGGGTATGACAGTGAAACAGACAAGTTCATGATTCCATCGCTTGCAAATAAGCTTGGGAATTCCCTGGTTAAAGTGAGCAAACTCTTAAAAGCTCAGGGATTAATCTCAAATGACAAACAGCTTGTTAAGAATGCCAGTGAGTTTCTAGAAGTCCATCAGAACAAGTGGAACGAGTTGATCTCGGCTACAGCATTGAGGAACATCAGTGAAGCAAAGTGGAATGTGCCCACTATCATGCCCTTTACTGAAGACGTCCAGAAAATGCACACACATCTCAGTGAAGTGCAAGAGAAGTGGTTCAAAACACTCTCTGGAAGTCCCTCTACTAAAACCTGGATGGAGCTGGCAAAGGTGTGTCTAGCCCAGATGATTCTCTTTAACCGCCGCAGGGAAGGAGAGGTTTCGAGTATGCCTTTGTCTGCATTTCTTTCAAGAGACACTTCTCATCCACATGAGGATGTGGACTGGGCACTTTCTGAAGTGGAAAAAAAACTCTGCAGACACTTCACAAGGGTTATCACAAGAGGAAAGCGTGGTCGACCAGTTCCAATTCTTCTGACTCCAAAAATGCTATGTGCCTTAGAACTCCTTGTTAAGCAGAGAGAGGTTTGTGGGGTTCTGAAAGACAATCCCTATATGTTTGCAAGACCAGAAGCCATGACACATTTTCGAGGGTCAGACTGCCTCCGTGGCTTTGCTAAGGTGTGTGGCGCAAAGTGTCCCAAGTCACTGACATCTACAAGACTGCGAAAGCATGCCGCAACGCTTTCAACAGTGCTGAATATGACAGACACCGAGATGGACCAGCTGGCAAACTTCCTTGGACACGACATAAGAATCCATCGTGAGTTCTATCGACTCCCTGAGAAGACCTTGCAACTTGCCAAGATCAGCAAAGTTCTAATGGCACTTGAACAAGGAAGATTAGCTGAGTTCCATGGCAAGAACTTGGATGAAATTGGGATAGATCCTGATGGTGTGGTATTTTATTTGACGTTTGTTTGATTTTTCTGTTTACCATCTATTCAAATACCATATGTTTACGATCTATTATATGCCATTAAGCTTTACTTTGAACTTCCACAGAAAAAGTTCTTAACTCTGATGAGGAAGACGAGAGCATAACAGAGGGACTCTGTTCATCTACTGTTGACGGTTTGTATTACTTTCAAAATACACTACTAGATTTTGCAGTTATTCATAGGTTTCAGTCACTTTACTTGTGAAGACCTGACATGCAAAAACAATGTTCTAACATCAAAGCCAACATTAAAGAAGATTCTTCAGTATGCTGAACAAAAGCTTTTTTTATTAACGAAACTGCTCATTGTGTAATGAATCAAATGCCTCCAAGCTATTCTTCAAAATGTCTTGCACTAAACATTTATTTTGGAGTGAATATTTTTTGTGGACTTTACTACCATAAAAATTATGTTTCATAAGAGAAACGTGCACATTTTTCGTAAAATGCTAGCTGACCCGTTCTCTTCTCGTGTTTGTTGTGTTATGGCACTAAATGAACCATGTCAGATTATCAAGTAATTAACCATTTTATTTCATGTCTTAGTTTGCTTGAGCTTATGTTTGATTAAATGTCTGCTGGAAAGATGCAGTTCAATTATACTTGCAATAATGAAAAATTACACAGGTTTAAGAGTTAATTGTACTTTAATGATTTAAAATAATCAGTGCATAAGTGTGACTAAACACATTGTGTATTGTCTGTTGGAAAATTTTCCTTCGAACCAACAGACATTGGGATATCTTTCAAGCAGGATTCTTTACTGAGAACTCACTGTCCTGTTTATATACCTTTCAAGGGGGAGGGATTTACATAGAGGTGGAGACACTCTGAAACAAAGCATGTAAACGAAGTACGGAAGTCAGTTCATTACTAGAAATTCCCCATCCCTGATCTCATTAGCATAACAGTGTCATTCAGATACATGGGTGATAATCCATTCAGCCTGACTATTCAACGACTGGAACGGGCTCCTAGAGCCATTTAAAGAGTAATTTGACTTGTTTAACCTACAATAGAGAAACAGGACTGGCAGGAATCTTTGGCTGGAAACTCTTGAGGAAACTCAATTGTCAGCATTTTATAGTAAATTTTAAAATGTATATCTTTCTGAAAACATTGAACTTTGATTATTTTCCATAGAACCATCTTCAGAGGTGGCACTTCCTCCTACCGAGAGGAGTGACATGCCGCCACCACCCAAGAGACGCAGACTACCAGCAGATGAAGAGATGCCTACAGAAGCCAGTGCTGTGAGGCCTTCTTCCAAAGGTGAAATCTTTACACGTTTCTAAAACTAAATTAGACAATTTAGGAGCACTTTGATACCCAGATTTCAGACCAGATCACTAAATGCTGATTTTGTTTTTTTGCCATTTCCTGTTTTCTGCCATTTTGAGACGTTTCCGCCAAATCTTTAGTGATTTGAAAACTTGCAACTTAATTGTTCCTCTACACCAGTCCTTAGGTCTTTACACTGGCTCCCAGTTACATTTAGGATTGATTTTAAAGTATTATCACTGTTATATAAATCATTTAATGGGTTAGGACCTCAATATATTGTAGATATGCTCACTGAATATAAACCCAACAGATCACTTAGATCACTAGGATCACATCAGCTAGAAATACCAAGGGTTCACTCTAAGCATGGAGAGTCTGCTTTAGCTATTATGCTGGAACCAGCTTCCAGAGGAGATCAGGTGTGCTCCTACAGTTGTCACATTCAAATCCAGACTCAAAACACATCTGTTTAGCTGTGCATTTACTGAATAAGCACTGTGCCACTGTTCGTACGACTGTTACTGTATTTTATTTAATGTTCTTATTCTAAACTGTTTTAATTATTTACTGTATTTTATTTTTTATTCTAAATTGTTTTAATTATTCTGATTTATTTTGATTATTTGTATTTCTTCTATGCAAAGCACTTTGAGTTACCATTGTGTATGAAAGGTGCTATATAAAAAAACTTGCCTTGCACATGAATTTCAATATCATAATGCTCAGGAACCCTTCTGTAGTTTAGTTGTCTTGGGCGGTGAGAAGTTGAAATCAGGTCAACTTTTATGGTAATGAGCTATGACGTGGTTCTGCGGCACCCAATTGTAATGTAGAAGTGCTCTGCTTTAGAGGATTCCAGAGAATGCAGTCAAGTAACTTTGGTTCCGTCCACATTATTTCCCAAGCACAATAGGAGAGATTGATCATTTGAATTTGATAAGAAGGCGCGCAACACTGTCTATAGGCTTGATTTTCGTGCTAGAACACTTGTTTATCAGTGGGAATGTAAAGTTGAATAGCACTTAACCATTAACACAAAAGCCACACCACATAAATGGCTTTTAATTGGTTTATTTCATTCGCAAACATGTCACTATAATAAAGTTATTTCCTTTGATCAATGTTCTGCAAAAATAACTAATTGACATGCTTGTTTGCTTTTGCGGCCCCTTTAAATGGTTTAAAAAAAGACCAAGCATTCGATTTATGTCAGAGTGTCCACGAATCTTTCCACGGCCTCGCTGGCCTGACGGCCAGAGCGATATTTTTTTTTTCCTCCCCCCGAGCTTTCTATAGTGAATTATCGTGTGTGTGAGTTGAGTATATGCTGAGTTTCGGCTCATTTCTGTTGTGTACCGAGACATAATGAAAACAATCAGGATGTGTATGAATAAAATGACAAGAGTATTGTAAGTAAAATGATTGTGCTGGTGCCTGTATGTCCTGCAGTAAAGTGTCTCCACACACGCACACAGATATGAGTCTAATGTTAATCTGATAAATGTCTTATTAGAGTGAGTGACTTGTAAAGTTACTACTACTTGCATGTTTCAAGTGATGAGCCATATTTAAGGTCATTGACTGATAGGCGAATGTTTGGATTTCATTCAGACTGCCGTTATTGATTTGTCTGTCAAAGCCTGCGTGATAACCTGCAAGCTTTTTTTTTCTTCCTGCGACTAACTAATAAAATCGTAGTTGATTATTAGAGGGCAGACCTAATAAATACTGATTATAGGATTTAGAACTACAGATTGTAATTGCAGCACACACACTTTTATCATTTCAATAGTTTTTTTTCTGTCCACTTAGGTAAAAGTACCCAGAAGACACCCTGGCAGCAGACAGAGGTGCAGGCGGTGGAAAGGCACATGCAGCGATTCATCACATCGCTCACTGTACCAGCAAAGAGCGACTGTGAAAAGTGCTTGAAAGCTGAACCAGGAGCACTGAAGAACCGTGATTGGAAGAATGTAAAATTTTACATTTATAATCGTATTACAGCTTACAAAAAGAAATTCCAGTGCAAATAATAATAATGTGAACATCATGGCAGGTTTTGTTCAAAGATTTTAAAGGGTTAAAGATGTTTTAAGGTTTACTATCCCTTTAAAACTACAGAAACACTTGTAGGCTATAGAATACTTTTGTTTGCCATATGTTTTATGATGACTGTGATGGCCACCAGTCGGAAAACATTGATCAAACAACATTTCAAATAGAGTGTCATGTTTGCAGTACAGTATGTTTATGATGACCGTGATGACCACCAGTCGGAAAGCATTGGTTGGACAAAGTTAATTTAAAGTCGTAGTTTGTTTAAATTCACATGTATGTGAAAGGAAGCATGTGTGAAAGTTATTTTATTTTATATACTTTTAATATCAGGACCTTGTTTTTAGGTATGACTTCATTTTGAGTTTTGTGAAGCTGAGTTCAATAAAAGTTGAATTCCGCAATCGTAATGTGAATTAATGTATTGAAGCTCAATTAGTAGTATGTGTCTCAAATAAGTGTCAGGTGAATGAGAAGCAGCTGATGCTTGGAGGAGGTTGACTGAAAAATTACAATAATAGAAAGGATAATTTGTGGGTATGAAATGGGTCACTAGCACCATATGCGGGCCTTACTATATCTCCACATTAAGTAATCAAAGTTGTTCTACTGCATATTTTAATTCTCCTTGCTTGTAGATTAAACCCATTTTTAAGGGCAACTGGATAAATGAAATCTGAAGATTTGCTAGTGTAAATGCCTATTATTTTTCTATCTAGGTCCCCACAAATCAACTGGGAGGTTGTGTGAATTATGCAAATTGGGTCCCCACAAATCGAAAGGGAGGTGTGAATTATGCAAAGTGGGTCCCTATGAGACATGTCCACTCGATTTTTCAAATGTCCCCATTGTGCATGATCAAATCATTACTTCATCAATTCAGATATTTGAAGGCGTGTATAAGTTGTCAAAGTTATGGTAAGTATCCCTAATTTTTTTTATACTTCTAAACCCTTTAGAAAGGGTGGTCCCCACAGGTGATGGTCATAAAGTTGGTCCCCATCCAACATGGAAACCAGTATGTGTGTGTGTGTGTGTGTGTGTGTGTGTGTGTGTGTTTTAATACAGACTTAGCTCTGTATTGTTTGCCTCTTTTGACAAATTTGTTGATTTTTTTCTTAAAAATCGAATCAAAATGTCAGATAAAGCTTTTCAGGACACTTTTATGTACATACGTTTTGCATATGTCATATAAGGTCAGTACTCACTGCAATTTCAGACATATTTTGCCCTGAATACATTTTAATTACTTCCTTTTAATTGACTTCCTCGACAGTCTGTCTTATTTCGCTCTATCTGTTTAAACAGAACATGGCAGAGCTCAGACAGATGTTTTGACTTTTTTTGTGAAGTATGGAAGCTGGATAATTTTGTATGAGTTTCAAAACGCAGAGAGGGAATTCGCTAGGAAAGAATTGAGTCCAATGATAGCACCATTTTTCATACGCTGTCCTTTGTTTTCAGGTTCACTAAACGAGTTATGTAAATCAGGTAATGGCGCAAACGTATAGCCACGAAATCTGAAGGCAATTTGCATGGCATAATTTCTGTTCTTGCGGGTTGGTTCAGAGAACTATTGTGGAAGGATGTAGCAGACTACGGCAGTCTGACTCCATAAATATAAAGGCGCGTGATATAATGAGCTTAATTTGCATAGAAAGAAGGTGTGTTCATGCTACAAAAAATGCTGATGATGACAATTTAAATGAAGTGCAATGCTTTGTCAATGCATTTAACTCCTTGTTAAACTTTGTTGCAGGTGGTTTGTGAATAAGATGCAGATTTCTGTGCTGGAAGTGCAAAAGTGCACAGCTTTTTAGTGGATCCTGAATTGGATGTTGTAACTCTTTCCGCCCACTTGGGAGATACGAGATAAAAACAATTAGTGGAGATGATTTTACTTCCAAAGAAAAAGAGGGGGAAAAAAAGCAGTACACACTGACCTTGGTCTAAGTTATTTTTGAGGTAGTTTCTCAAGGCGTTATTCTCTGACGCATCATCCTTAAAGGAAACAATGATTTCTCTTTGTTCCCATGTGATTATGGTAATGAATGCTAATTTCATTTCCACCCAATGCATAAGCAGTCTCTGCTCGCTTTTACAATTACAATTCCTTTGATTACTATCACAAATAACCTTGGCATTATCTATTAGGATCATCTTTGATGCAATGGAAAGTGGGACGTGTAAGAAATGTCATCAATGTTTATGAAAAGTATCCTCATTCGGTGTTCTACTGTGAAATGCAAACGTTGCAATGACATTATTGCAGGAAGTTGTCAACTTTGTTTAATCCTTTTATTTTTCCAATCACCTTGCTCAACTGTGAATGTTTCAAGGCCGATCACATTCACTTACAGGATGAAAACAGGGAATCACCTGCAGTCCTGTGTTACATTGTGGTGTAAGCAAGAGGGTTGAGATATCTCAGCAAAAGTGTATAATTTGATTTGCCTGGGCTCAGTAAGCAATGTGTCAAAAGGTTTCTTACACAGCAGAAATGGTGGCAGGTGTCCTTTAAGGGAGTTGGTTTCTTTAATAAAATAAAGACTTTCTTTGTGATTCAGTATTGTTTTATTATTTGTTATTTTATTTTATTATTTAAAAAAAAATCCTCCAAGAAACTCATCTTAAATTCTGCTGTAAATGTGCCATATCTGTTTTTAATTATTATTTATATATTTTTTTTATTATTATTATAACTTTTTTTCGGTAGCGCAGAATCTACCGCAAATTAAAGAACACAAGCGCAGTCGGATAATTTCCATAATGATTGACGCAATTTTCCAAGACCAGCACAGTTTATCTTCTTGTTTAAGACATGCTTTTTTGGGGCATTAAATAATAGAGCAAAAAAAAAAAAAAAAAAACGTAACGTGACAAACGCAAACCTTAGTAATCGCCTTGTATGATTATTTAATACTCTCCTCTCATAAATTTTGCCTCTGCAAGGGACACTCCTACAAATGCATTTGCAATAAGGTCAACCTAAAAAATAACCCTGTCCATGGCTTTTTTAGCCCCAATGTTTCACTGCATGTGTTTAGTAAATCCTGACAGTAGTTTTTTTTTTTTTTTTTTTTTTTTTTTAATGCCAAAAGAGGATTTGCACTGGTACAGGCTGTTAGTAAATCTGGCCCTTTGTATTTCTATACTTAAAAGCCTGTTCACACCGGGACGAATTTCATGCGCGTTATTCGCCAACGTTTAACGCCTCTTGACTAAACAAAGGGCGCCAATGTGAGTGTACACACCGACGCGTAAATCGCCACACGTAAAAGCGTCATTTAAAAAAAAAAAAAAAAAAACGCCTCGGGTTCGTTTTTTTAGTTAACTATACGACCACTGAGATTGGCGCTTTTGCTCACGTGTTTGGAGCTTCTGAAGTTACCGTAAACACAACTTGGGGGTGCTCAAACACAAAACGGTCTTGCCGAGCAAACATATGCAACGGAGAAGAAGATCTACGTACTGTAGCGTCACCGTCTACACAGCCAGGAAGAAATAAGACGAGGAAGATGCAAGGCAAGGTGAATGTAGAGCTGCTTCTCATTGGTGCTAGAACATTAAGAACTATATGAAAAGCGCGACAGGGACTACAGACAACTTGAGAAAAGAAAACTGATATGGAGTGGTATTGCAGAGCAAACGGGCGCCATCTAATGTTAGGGAATGATTTTGCATGTTCACTTGGCTCATCGTCAGCAAAAATCGCTTGGGTGTGAACACAAAAAAAAGTGTTGAAAAACACTGACGAATAACGCTCGCTGATATTCGTCCCGGTGTGCGGGCCTATAAAAAAATCTTTTATTTGACCAAATCGTTTAATATACAATACGCACCTATAATAATCATGTAACAACATTTTCAAAAATCTTAGCATGTGCTTCTGCTATTGTCTATATACCTTTGCATTCCGCTGTATCCAACCACAGAAAAACTTCACACATTCAGTATTCAACTTTGATCATGGCAAGATGGATATCTATAATTCAGAACACAATGTTTCTATACAATGACATTGGGCAGCATCCTTGTACCTCCATAGTAGTGAGACTTGGATTTAGAAATGGATTTAGGCAAATAGAGAATTTCTATTGGATAGAAACAGTATTTCATACATGACAGTTCCTTATTGTGACTGCCAGAACTTCCAGGCCAAAGCACAGCGTGGTGTCCAACAGCCAGACATGCCCCCACCAACATTGCCCACACATCGACTGAAACACTTTTACAATGGGTAACTTGATTACAGCATTTCAGTATTGCTTTCTGAAATCCGCCCTGATGGGTAAATCAAGTTCGCGGACAATAATAACCAAACTGCTGAGAATTCAATACATTCTCCCAATACTGGTGGCACATAAAAACCTGTGACACATCATGCAGTAACACAGAGGAAAGTGGAACTCAAAGCACACAAGTCATAATGGGATGTGACAGACAAATCAGAGGCACTCAGGAAATCGTCCCCACGTAAGGAATCAATAGCAACACCACACCTGAGCTGTACTGTTCCCCTGCCCTCTATCGCAATACCTCATTCTTTTAGATGGCAGGAAGCTGGAGACAATTTCCCAAATATCCTTTTTTTTAAAACAAAAATCAGGATTGAGGCGAATAGGTGACTTCACATCTCAAAGGAAGAAAAAAAAAATCCACCCAGGCATTGTTACTAACAAAGCATTCAGTAAAATGGTTTCCATTAGAACTGGCTATTGTGTGGGCTTATTAATTGGCAATTATGAGCATTTTTCTCAGTGTATTTCATGCTGAGTGGTTTTTGTAGTATAGGATTTGCTGTGAGTTTTGGACCACAGCCTGAGCTCATTTTCTTGAGGGGTGGTTGAGAAAATAGGCTTTACTCCTTATAGCAGTTGAATGTGAGATCAAAAGAAAAGTCTTTAATTGGTATCATGTTCTTTGTGATGTGATGAGTGAAATGTAATTCCTCTTTTCATGCATATCTAAGGACACAACACAGTGTAGGTCGAGGTCTTTCTTGTAAAATGGTTTATGGCATTTGTCTCGAATTCGTTCTCTGAGACGTAAATATTTAATGTAAGGAGTTGTGTTCTGTTCATCATATGGCGGTTGTGTTGATCTCATGGGCAAGAAGATCCTCCATTACATTCATTTGTGATGTTCTATGCAGAGGCTTGCTCAAAGACATGCTGTACAGTTCTTAAATATTTAAAATAATCTTATATACAATCAATATACTGTATATATATATATATATATATATTACTATTTCAGACTTCTTTCAAAAACAATATTTTAAAAATCTTACTATTTGAATAGATAGATAGATAGATAGATAGATAGATAGATAGATAGATAGATAGATAGATAGATAGATAGATAGATAGATAGATAGATAGATAGATAGATAGATAGATAG